TGGGCCTCCCGGGGGGGCTCTTAGGGCCCTCTCGGGCCGTCTAGGGTGCCTCTTGGGCCGTCTTGGGGCCGTCTGTGACCCGCCTCGGCGCCTCTTGGGCTGTCGTGGGCCGTCTTGGGCCGCTCCTAGGGTCGTCTTGGGTGCCTCTTGGGCCGTCTTGGGCGCCTCCTGGGCCGTCCTGGGGCCGTCCTGGGGCGTCTTGGGACCGTCTGGGGGCCCTCCTGGCCCGTCTTGGGGCTCTCTTGGGGTCCTCTTCGGCCGTCTTGGAGCGGTCGGGGGGGGCTTCTTGGGCCGTCTTGGAGCGTCGGGAAGCCGACGAGGCGAGGAGGCCGAAAACATCGGAAAACACAGTAGAAATCGACGATTTCTGTCGCTCGGAGCCCTCTTGGGAGGCCTCTTCGGGCGTCTTGGACGCCTCTTGGGCCGCCTGGGGCGAATCTCGGGCGTCTTGGGCCCATCTTTAAGCGTGCCGGGGCTCTCCGGGGCCGTCTTGGGGGCTTCTGGGGGCCCTCTCGACATGTCCTGGGGCCTCCCTGGGCGGCCCGGGGCCAGCCCGGGGCGGTTTCGGTGCATTGGGGCCTGCGCCCTTCTGGCACGCACTGGGCCCTGCAATGTAGTAGAGACTAGGGCAGACCTGTGGACTCCGTCCACGACATCAGCTCGACGTGGCGAGGGATCTCTGGGCAAGCGCGGGGGGGTGCGGCTGCAGGGCCGAAAGGCAATCATGATGGCGTCGGGCTCCAGCTTGGCTTTCCACATCTCGCAGTGCAGCGCCAGGCCCCTCCTCCTCCTCCTCCTCCTCCTCCTCCTCCTCCTTTTTTTCCTTCATTTCCTTTCCTTTTCTTCCTCCTCTCCTCTTTTCCACCTTCTCCTCCTCTTTTCGCTCGATTCCGTAGCAGCTCAGCGTGTAATCGTCGATCTACGACGACTCTCCCAAAACATGTGGAGAAACCATCGAAGGAACTCGGAGCGTCCAAACATTGTTCTTTTTGGCCTTCGATATGCCGGTCGCATCTCGTCCGCTCCCCCCCTCCTGGAAGCAATTCTGAGGCCACTTCGGGCTTCGTGGGGGCCGTTTGGGGATCTCTTGGGGCGTTTTTGCCTGCGATATGCCTGTCGCCTCTCGTCCGCTCCCCCGCTCCTGGAGGGAATTCTGAAGCCACTGAAGGCTTCGTGGGGGCCTCCGTTTGAAGAGCGCGTCACGGAGGACCTCGAGCGTGGAGCCTCGAGGATCCAAGTTCGGAGGTCCGACGAGACAAACATCTAAGGCCCTGGGAGCGTCGAAAACGCCTCTTTTGTGTCCGCGATATGCCTGTCGCCTCTCGTCCGCTCACCCCCTCGTGGAGGCATTTCTGAAGCCACTTAGGGCCTCGTGGGGGCCCTTTCGAGGGGCTTCTTTTGGGTCTCCTGGGGGGCTCTGGAGCCCTCTTGGGCCGTCTTGGGTGCCTCTTGGGCCGTCTTGGGACCGTCTGAGGCCGGCTTCGGCGCCTCTAGGGCTCTGTTGGGCCGTCTTGGGCCGCTCCTGGGGCCGTATTGGGTGCCTCTTGGGCTGTCTTGGGCGCCTCCTGGGCCGTCCTGGGGCCGTCCTGGGCCGTCTTGGGGCCGTCTTGGGGCCCTCTTGGCCTGTCTTGGGGCTCTCTTGGGGTCCTCTTCGGCCGTCTTGGAGCGGTCTGGGGGACGTCTTGGGCCGTCTTGGAGCGTCGGGAAGCCGAAAAGGCGAGGAGGCCGAAAACATCGAAAAACACAATGGAAATCGACGGTTTCTGCCGCTCGGGGCCCTCTCGGGGCGCCTCTTGGGAGGCCTCTTGGGGCGTCTTGGAGGCCTCTGGAGCCGTCTTGGGCCAATCTCGAGCGTCTTGGGCCCCTCGCTGGGCGTGCCGGGGCCCTCCAGGGCCGTCTTGGGGGCCTCTTGGGGCCCCCTTGGCGTGTCTTGGGGCCTCCCGGGGCGGCCCGGGGCCAGCCCGGGGCGATTATGAGTTAATGGAGCCTGCGCCCTTCTGGCACGCACTGGGCCCTGCAATGTAGTAGAGACTAGGGCTGACCCGTGGACTCCGTCCACGACATCTTCCTGGAATGGTTCTCGGAGGAACGGCGCAGATTGTACCGAAAATCTACAAACACGGCGGCGGCTCGGGCGGCGGCAGCGAGACCGCGCCTTCGTGTCCGAGCTCTTGCAGCGCTGCAGCAGCTTGGCCCAGCACACTGCTCGTTCACCCCCCTCCTATTGAGGACAGTTTCGAAGTCTCTCGGGGATGGGCGTCGAAGTCGAAGCCCATCTGAGGCGTCTCAGGAGCGCTCGGGGAAGGGCTCGGGAGGTCATCGGGGAAAGCCACCGAAAGCGCCGGGGAGGCTCGCAAGGATCTACAGGGAGGGCCCAAGAGAGCTTCAAGAAAACTTGAAATTCTGTACAATCTTTAGAGAAACCGCTGTTGGGTCGGCCATCACCTCTGGGCGCGCCTTGATGGTGCGATCAAGTCGCATCACCGCCAACGGGAGGGTGTGTTCGCCATGTCCCATTCTGTTCGCCCAGAGGGTCTGTGGAGGCCTTCGGGCGAACAGAACGGGACAGGGCAAGGAATGGGGAAGACTTGTCCGAATCTCCTGGGCCCCCCAGGTGCTCGTCCGAAGAATGCGGAGAGGTCCCAGGGTCATATCAAGTGGCTGCTGTCCCAGGGGTCCGGTCTGCTTGGCCCGAAGAGTTTGCCAAGGCCCCACGCCATCTTAAGCCATCTTGGCCATTCGGACAGCTCGGGCGCCCCGACGAATCCACGCTCTCCTCCAGGCATCTTGCCATCACCTCGGAGCCTTCGCCTTCCAGAGCCTCGCGGGCTCAAACGGCCAAGCTGTCAGCCGCGCATGCAACCCACCGGAGCCGTCACGACAAGAAAACGTCACCATGCCATGTCAAGTGGCCCCCAAAGGGGTCTGCAATCACTTTTTCTTACAAAAGTAGTCCGCAGGGCCCTTTGGCGCCCAGAACGAACCTACAGTAAGCGATAGTGGCCCTCGGAGGCCCTCTGAGAGCCATCTTGGACCGTCTTGGCCATTCGCGCCGCTCGGGTCTTGGAGCGGTCTTGGGGACCTCTTGGGCCGTCTTGGAGCGCAGGGCCGGCGAAAAGGGGAGAATGCGAAAAACATCGGAAAACACGATGGAAATCGACGATTTCTCCCGCTCGAGGCCCTGCTGGGAAGCCTCTTGGGAGGCCTCTTGGAGCCTTTTGGCCGCCACTGGGGCCGTCTTGGCCCAATCTTCGGCGTCTTGGGCCCATCTTGGGGCGTCCCGGAGCCCTCTGGGGCCGTCTTGGGGGCCTCTTGGGGCCCTCTTGGCGCGTCTTGGGCCCATCTTGGGGCGTCCCGGGGCCCTCTGGGGCCGTCTTGGGCTGTCTTGGGGCGTCTTGGGACCGTCTGGGGGCCCTCTTGGCCCGTCTTGAGGCCCTCTTGCGGGCCTCGTCGGTGGTCTTGGAGCGGTCTTGGGGACCTCTTGGGCCGTCTTGGAGCGCAGGGACGGCGAAAAGGGGAGAATGCGAAAAACATGAAAAACACAATGGAAATCGACGATTTCTCCCGCTCGGGGCCCTGCTGGGAAGCCTCTTGGGAGGCCTCTTGGGGCATTTTGGCCGCCTCTGGGGCCGTCTTGGCCCAATCTTCGGCGTCTTGGGCCCATCTTGGGGCGTCCCGGAGCCCTCTGGGGCCGTCTTGGGGGCCTCTTGGGGCCCTCTTGGCGCGTCTTGGGCCTATCTTGGGGCGTCCCAGGGCCCTCTGGGGGCGTCTTGGGGGGCCGTCTTGGGCTGTCTTGGGGCGTCTTGGGACCGTCTGGGGGCCCTCTTGGCCCGTCTTGAGGCCCTCTTGCGGGCCTCGTCGGTGGTCTTGGAGCGGTCTTGGGGACCTCTTGGGCCGTCTTGGAGCGCAGGGACGGCGAAAAGGGGAGAATGCGAAAAACATCGAAAAACACAATGGAAATCGACGATTTCTCCCGCTCGGGGCCCTGCTGGGAAGCCTCTTGGGAGGCCTCTTGGGGCATTTTGGCCGCCTCTGGGGCCGTCTTGGCCCAATCTTCGGCGTCTTGGGCCCATCTTGGGGCGTCCCGGAGCCCTCTGGGGCCGTCTTGGGGGCCTCTTGAAGCCCTCTTGGCGCGTCTTGGGCCCATCTTGGGGCGTCCCGGGGCCCTCTGGGGCCGTCTTGGGGGCCTCTTGGGGCCCTCTTGGCGTGTCTTGGGCCTGCTACGCTTTTTGACCAGAATCGCCCTTCTCGCACGCGCGGGGCCCTGCATTGTAGTATAGATGACGTCGGGCTCCACCTTCGCCTTACACATCGCGCTCAGCAGCGCCAGGGCCCGCTGCCACTGCTGGCCCTTCCCGCACGCGCTGATTCTGGCGCTGTAGCTGAAGACGTTGCAATCCATCTTTTTTAAAACCATAACCCGTAGTACCGACAGAGCTTGCTGCCACTGCGTGGCTTTTCCGAATGCCCTGACAGTTGCAGTGTCCTGGCCTGAGCTTGCTTTTGCACGTGGTTCGGGCGATTCGATGGGCGGGTGCAACGGGTGCTTCGCCGCGATCCAATGCTCTGTCCAAACGCCTGTTGGAGGCCGCACCTTTTGCAGGTCGCCTCGAGATCCTCGGCGGATGTCCGTCATACTAGAATCTATTGGGCAACGCTTTAACACTGGCGTGGCTCCGACCAGAGTGTCTCCAACAATAGTCAAGGATCACAAATTCAAAGAGCATGACCGTGAAACGATGAAAACCCGAATTGCCTTTTGGTTCAAGCTGGTGGGGATACGCGGAGCGTGAAGAATTATTGCTTGGGGTCCACGCTGGCAAGCATTCTTCTTCGAGACAAGAGGGGCGAGGGCAAGGATGAAAGGGCGGGGTGGGAGGCCAGGAGGAGGAGGAGGAGGAGGAGGAGGAGGAGGAGGAGGAGGAGGAGGAGGAGGACGAGGAGGATCGCTGAGACGCAAGACACGCGGCCCTCGTCGGAGAGACCATCTGACCCGCTGCCTCCAGCGTCGTGCCGTGCCACAGCAGCCACTCGTTGCAGTTCTGCTCGAGGGGCCCTCCGATGATCGCGGCGACGTTGCGGCTGACGCTCTCCTCCGGAGGAAGGGCCGTCGAGACGACGGCGGCCGTCCCTGCGGCTGCTCGCTCTTTTTGTGGCCTCCTGGAGGCTTCGAGTCGCCCCGGGTTTGATCCGCCTCGACGAGCGGGTCAGAATGGACCCCGGGAGGGGTCCCGCTCCAGGGATCCCCCAGGCGCCGGACATCCGCTCAAAAGCGATCGACCGCTTTTGAGCGGATGTGGGCCCGGCGGGAGAGCCGCCGCTGTCTCGACCGGCCCTCCCGCGGCGCCTGCGGCGGAGCAGCAGCGCTGTTGCGTGCGGCGCTGGGGACCGCCTGCCACGGTGGCCACGCGTCAGGGAGCAGCGGGGCAAGATCAGGCAGCATCGGGCCGGGAACTTGGCTCGAATCTGGTCGACTCGAAATGTGCGTCGAATCCGGCCGCATCCAGAGCCGAACTCGAATCGGAGTGGCTGCGTCAGGATGCACAACAGAGCTGCGCAAGCATCGGGCCGCCTCGGATCGTCGTCTCCTCGGCAACGGCCAGAGGGTCTGGTTCCAGAAGGGTGATGTCGACGGCTGCTGGGGCGCCTCGGGTCGAGCTGGGGGGCCTCGGGTCGAGCTGGGGTCGGCTCAGGCCCAGCGAGACCAACCTTGCCCCACGAGCCTGTGTGGCAACTCCGACCTTCTCGGGATCGATCAGCGCCCCTCTAACGGGGACTCCACTAACGGGTACTTTGGCCAGTGGCCCGGCGAACCCAACCCTCCCCGATGTGGGCAACGCTGCAATGCCAGAAAGAGGCCCTAAAGCGGCAACTTTCGGCACATCTCCAAAGTACCCGTTAGCGCGTACCCGTTACGGTGCCGCTGAATCGAGAGGGGAACGAGCCGGCCGGAGTCGACATAGTCGACATCGAGTCGGCTTGATCGGATCGAGATGTGCCCCATGGTTCCGGGCCGAAACCTGCCTCCGACCATGGCCGTGCATCAGAGATCAGAGGGGGTAAGCATCGGTGCTGGAGGCGGCTGGCGAAGGCGAGACCGCGCAGCTCTCCTGCGTTGTCTTCACCTCGTACGCCTTGAAGCTTGGATCCTCCGCGCCTAACCTCTGCACGTTGGTGGCGACGATGGAGGAAGAAACGATTGCAAAAACATGAACTTTCGGAGGTCCGCACGGATTTCTTGGTTCTGCGCTGGACCCTCCTCCCTGGCGCGCGGGGCGCGCAGGTGGCGGCGCCAGAGGCACTGCCAGGGTGGCCAAGCGCCAATCCGAGAAATCTGAGCGGAGCTACGACAGTTTATGTTTATCCAGTCTTTCCTACTTCGAGATGAGGCTCTTCTTGAGGTGGTACTTGCGCCAGATCCTGGGCTCGGGGCGGTCGAAGGGGGAATTGCAGAGGGGGAAGCTGGGGGATCAGCTGCGTGCAGCCAATTTTCCCGGCACCTCCCGGCGCCAAGAGCGGCCGTGCATTGAGGATAGGGCCTGGCGGTGGAGATGAAACCAACTGCACGCTGCAAATTTCGTAATCCCCCGCTTTCCCAATCCACCCACTTTCGTCCGACCTGGTCGGCTAGACTCTCCGGTCGGTCTGACGAGCCGCCTCGACACTGTACCAGTGAAGGATGCACGATCAGAGTCCAGCGATTTGGCACCATGAGATCCGTCGGGCGCACCTGAGGCCAGAACTTCTTATTCTCATTCCTCTGGACCGAGATGACGACGTAGCCTTGGTGCGACTTGCACGCAGTGCTCTATCATCCCCCTCGCGAAGCTGGCTGTAGGGTCTGAGAGCCCCCCCGAACCTGAGCAAGTTGAGGAGAGGGAAGCAAATGCGATCGCGAACGAGCAGGCAACCTGACGAGGGTGGATGCCCGAGGACTGCCTCAAGTGGCCCATAGCACCCCGAGGCGCCCCCAGGAGGCCCTCTGAGTTAACCCAGATGATTCCCAGCCTGTGGTTGCTTTGTGTGCGAAGGCACTTCCATAAACTTGCCGCCAAAGTACCCCCCAGGAGAAACTGAAGACTCGTCACATTGAGCGGCAAGGAGCCACCATGCATCGAGGAATCCCACCAGCCCTCCGGGCGAGAATGGTCTAATACGTTTCCTCTTCTAAGCCCCTTCATAAACTTCGAGGAGGGGTGTGTGTATACCTGCGCCTGCCCCCCTTGCCCCCTCCCCCCTGGTCTTGAGGGGTGGGCCCAAGGGGTCAGAGTGCCCATGATAGCTCCAGGATGGCCCCCCAAGAGAGCCCAAGATGACCTCCAAAATGTAATAAGATAATGACAGATCGCTCAATGCGGCTTCCAACATGCTCGAAGAGCACCCAATATGCCTTCAAGACAGCTCCGAACGGTCACGGAGCCTCCCAAGGATGCCCCAAAGAGGCCAACATCCTCCCAATACCTAAAGACAACACATGATCTTTGACGTCTCATCTTGTTGCTTTCAGTGGACTTCGGAGGCCTCTGTATGGCTGCAAGGCGGCCAACGAGAGCTCCAAGAGGAGGCCAGGACGGCTCCAAGGCGACCCCAAGAGCACCCAGGGTGCTCCGAAAGAACCCCATGAGGGCCCCAAGAGGGGAGCGTTCGGGCCCCACAGGAGCAACCCTGAGAAAGAGCCCCTCCCTCCTGAATTGAGCACCTCCAATGTGGCCCCTGCGGGACCCGAGATGCCTCCAAGAATGCCCGAGGAGACCCCCAAACGAGCCTCATGGCAAAGCATCTGCCCCATGAGGGCTCCCAGATGGCTCCAAGAGGCTCCAGAACGAACGATCTGCAAGGGCCTTTACGGTTGAATCATCGTTGCCGTCACCGTCGCCGTCTTCCTCCCTCATCCGCCTCTTCGTCCTGTTCATGCCCCTCCTTCCCTCTTCCTCTCCTCGTCCTCCTCCTCTCCTCTTTCTCCTCTTCTTCTTCCTCTTCCTCCTCATCCTCCTCCTCTTCCTTATCTTCCCCTTCTTGCTTCTCCCACCTAGGGTTCACCTCAAGAGGGCCCCAATCGACGACTTGTTAAGATCAAGAGGGGTGAAGTAAATTGGGGGCTCGCTGTTACTTGATCGGTGTCCTCCTCCTTCACATCCTCGTCCTCCTGTCTGCTCTCCTTCTCCTGCTCGCTCTCCTGTGAAAGGGCAGCGAAGACATACATACATATGTACATATACACATTTACGTAAACAAATTAACTCCCGCACCTTAGTTCCACTACTTATTGCACCACTTCCCTGATTGGGGCAACTCGCCTGCAGGTCATGTTTGCAGGGCTGGATGGGGATACGGAATCGTCAAGGATGTGCCAAGGGCAGCGTGGCCGAAAACAACTGCATGCAACACTTTCCGCCCCACAGATAGCCAGCCCATGACGGCCATGCCGGGAACCAAAGGCTACTAAAGTCCATTCCTTGAAAGGTGCATCCGTGAGGCTGGCTTTGCCGGATCATGCTTCCTCGCAGTTTGATGTGTCGCAGCGCACGGGGCGCTTGCCTCTGGCTGCGAGAAGAAGGCGCGACAAGCGTATGATGCCCAAATTTGGGCCTCGACATTTGCCACACGTGTCGCTTGAATGTCTCGGAGAGCAGCCGTCAACAAGGAGCTGGCACGTACATGGCGTGCGGAAGGATTCCGCCTGCGAGCCATACGGGGTCGAAGGAAAGGCACACCTTGGTTGCCAGCTGAGCTTCGCTGCCCAAGTGCGGGTGGGTCGCAACTGACCATGGATGGGCCGAACCACAGCCAGGCAAGCACACAATGACGCTTGGACACCTGCTTCTCACATCGATTTGTTCTCGAACAATTGTGTCCGTGTGAGGTGCGCAGAAGGCGACCCGCACGCCGCACTGCGAGCCTGCCTCAGCTACAGGGGCGCCGACCTCCCCTGGCGATGTCACAGTCCTCTCTGATAAACCTGTTTTAATGAACCTGCTGTCTCGGAGGCACCAGGAAGCGGGACCTTCTAGGCAGAACGGCCCTGGGCCCCCATGGCTTTCCAAGGTGAGCCGGTCCTCGTTCCGTGTCGCTCTCTGGCGATCCAAGGGCCCGTGGAGGGCCCCCTGGAAAGCCGAAAGCACGGGAGCGCCTCCGGGAAGGGTTTCCCACGGGATCCCTCTCCTTCATTCGGCGGATGCGACAAAGTTAGATCGCCCAGGGGCGGACATTGCATCAACACTCGCCGGGGAGCCTCGTGGAGACATGGGCGATCGGAGCTTCTGGATGCATGTAAGGCTCCCCCACCCTGCCCTGGGCTGTTCTCCCCTGTTGCAGCCGCTAACTGGTGGCGAGGCTTTCGTCCTGCGTCCCGTGCGAGATCCGCTGGGAGGGGCCTGGAACGCGAGGAGAAGGATGAGGAGGAGGAGGCGGAAAAGGAGAAGGAGGATCGGGTAGAGAAGGCGGTGGAAGAGGACATGGAGAAGGAGGAAGAAGAGGAGGGGGATCAGGCAGGAGAAGGATGGGGAGGAGGAGGAGGAGGAGGAGGAGAAGGAAGAGGAGGAGAAGGAGGAGAAGGAGAAGAAGGAGGAGAAGGAGGAGGAGGAGGAGGAGACAAGACGGAGGAGGATATAGAGGCGGAGGAAGAGGAGGAGGAGGAGGAGGGATGGCCGCGTTCGGAGAAGCTTATGGCCAAGAGACCGAAGAGAGAGAGAGAGAGATAGAGAGAGAGTGAATGAGAGAGAGGAAGAGACTCGGGAAGAGGAGGCGGTGGAGGAGGAGGAGGAGGAGGAGGAGGAAGAGGAGGAGGATCGGGCAGGAGGAGGCTTGGGATCGAGAAGGAGGAGAAGGAGGATGAAGAGGGAGGAGGAGGAGGAGGAGACAGAGGAGGAGCGAACGTTCACCGAGGGGGACGATCCATCCGATCCAGGGCGACCGATCTCTTCCGCCCGAGGCGTCGGCCGAGCCTGGGCCTGCGCTGTCTCTCGGAGACCTGCCAACTGGGATCCGGGCGGGTGGGGCTGGAGGATCGCGCCGCATCGCCGACGCGGCGCGATCCTCCGACCCCATCTGCTCGAGAGGAACGAAAAAAACACGGACACAATTTCTCGGAGATCCGAGCGGATTTCTTGGATCCCGGCTGCCCCTTCCTCCCTGGCGCGCGGAGCGCGCCAGAGCCAGCGCCACAGGCGCCGCCAGGGGGCCCCACGCCGATCCAAGAACTCCGCGCGGAGCTCCAAAAGTGCATGCTTTTGCAATCTCTCTCATTCGATACTCGGACCCTACTCCGACCAGCCGCAACTGGGGGAGCTGTGGTCCTTACCCCCCTGGGGGAACCCATCGCATCGACGACCTCTCGAGAGGGGTGTCGAAATCGATGGGTCCCCAGGGGGGTAAGGACCACAGCTCCCCCAAGTGTGGCTGGCCTGCTACTTGGGAGGCCTGGAGTGTGACCCCGTGTCGGCCCCGCGGTCCAACGCGGCTATGTGACCCCATGTCGGCCAGGACCGCCGCTCCCTTACAGAGCCCGTGTGACGCGACCAGGACGGGCGGCGGCATCTGCTCGGGCCCCCATCGGGGAGGCCTGGCGTCTCGGCGCGCGGCCCGACGGCACGCGCTTCTGCTTGCCGTCGTCGGTCCGACCCCGGTCGCGGGTCCAGACCTTCTTGTAGGAGTTGTCCATCAGCGCCTGCCGGGGGGTCGCCGAGACAACGAGCGTCCCTCGGGTGTTCGTCAACGGGGTGCAACAAGCGTGGGATGAAACAACGAGCGCATCAGCATAGCATCTCGGAGGTCCGCGTGGACCTTCGAGTTTCCCCTAACCCTCTTGTGAATTGGGTCCTCGTTTTGAGCCAGCAGCGCCGCGCGTCTCCTCCTCTTCTCTCCTCTCTTCGTCTCCCCTCTCCTTATCCTCCTCCTCATCCTACTCCTCCTCCTCCTCCTCATCCTCCTCCTCCTCCTCCTCCTCCTCCTCCTCCTCCTCCTCCTCCTCCTGCTGCGCGCCCATTCGGCACATCCCTGACGAGGATCGTGGCCCACAGGGAGCTCCCCCCGAACGCCTGGGCGGCACAGTTCGCATGGCGTCCCCACGTTCTATTCGGCGCACCCCACCGTAGCAAGGCGGCCCCGCCCCGAGGCCGAAGAGGAGCACCAGGCCGAACGGGTTGGAGACCTCCGGACCGGGCAGGCGGCCTAGTGGAAGACCATGCCAGGCCCGACGCAGCCCTCCCGACGGGTCGGGGAGGAGGGTCACTGACGCTCCGCGGAGCCGCACTCGCCCTTGTGGCCCAGGTCGCTGCCCAGGCGGCAGAGGAGGAGCTGGGGGCACAGCTGAAAAGGGCAGCCTCGGCGGCGCAGAGCTCGTCCATGGCTGCCGCCAACGCGCAGTGTTCGCGCATCGCACTTGCCCTCGCCAACCGCTGAAAGGTCGTACGGCGGTTTCGGCCGCGCGGGCGGGAACGGGCCGGCCCGCGGGTGGCCCTTCTGCGCATCCACCACCAGGCCTCCGCCCGCTACTCCCGGGCCTCGGCCACGGGCGTCGTAAGTTCCCGCGGCGTCGGGGGCGGCCGCGCCCAGGGCGTCGGAGACTGGCGCGCGCGAGCGAGGCCGCTTCGGCCGCCGCGGCCGCGGCCTGGGCCTTGAGCGCCTCGAGCTCGGCCTCGATCTCCGCCACGTCCGCGGGGGTCACGAAGAGGCCGTCGCGTGGGCCGCGCGGGCTGAGGGCGCCCATGGTGCCGACCCCGTGGCCTGCTCCCGCGGCATTGCCTTCGCCAGAACCGCCGCCTCCGTGGCCGCGACAGAGAACGCGAGAAATCCGCCCTCCAGAGCGGCAGTCAAAGCCGCGCCGAGCCGCGTCTGCTGGCACCCCCGATGGATGAGGGCGTCGACACTGCGCGGCATCGTCGAGACCACGCGGGCCTGGGCGCGGGACGCCTGCGCCCTCTGCTCGGCGGCAGTCCGCATCGGTCTGGCGGAGCGCCAAACGGGGAAAGGTCTGCCGACGTCGCCGGCGCGGCTGACAGTACCCGCCGTGCCCGCCGATTTTACGGCGCGGGTGGGGCGCGAAGGAGAAGCCCAGGAGGAGGAGCAGAGCGGGGAGCTCCTGGCGCCCACCTGCGCCGCTCGCAACCGCTGGATAGCGAGCGCGCGGCAGCGAGCATCAGCGGGGGAAGTTGCGTAAACGTTCGGGGGGCGGTGCCGATCTCCCCCCTTGCACTGCATGCTGCAAGCAAGCTGCGAGCGAGCGAACAACATAGCCGAACGATTGCTGACCCCGGTGCGCGGCAACACCTCCCAGACCCACACGACCTAGCACATCGCTGATCAGAGGGCGCTGAAGGTCATCTGCCATCTCTAACAGATGAGCACACGTTACAGAATGCTGGATGCAATTTTTCCCCATAACACCCCATGCAGCCCGCTCTGGGACCCGCCGCTGCACGCATGCGTTTGCGACTGGCCACGGGACCGCATCGGGTCGACCTCCGCCCCCCCGATCTAACGGCAGCGCGCTGGATGCCCGCAGACGCCGAGCATGCGCGATCAACTCTGGCAGGCTTGCAGAGACAAGCCTCCGTGGAACGTTCCACGATCGCGGCGTCTTCGCGCCGCCGGGCTGGAGGTCACATTTGAACGGCAAAGCGAAGCAAAAGGGCTGCGAGCTCTGCCGAACTTTGTGTTCGCTTTCTTCGCTGAGCGCCACCCCGAAACAGAAAAGCTGGCACGCGCGTGCGCCAAGTCGAAGCAACAGCGAGAGCGGGGATCAAGCCAGCCCCCCCCCACCGGGGCGCAACATTCTGAGGGGCACCAGATCTGCTTCTTCACCGAGTTCGGCAGCAAACGGCACAGTTTGTGCAGTCCACGCGCCCATCTCTTGATACATCTCGCAACTGGAAGGAACAGGCGGGCGGCGCAACCGAGCGCAGGGAGAGGGCAGGAATGGGGGGCGCGAGAAAGACTGGCAACATGGGCGCGTGCCTTCCACTTTTCCACGAGCCGCTTCCATTGCTGAGCCGCTGTCGCCAAGGGTCCGACCAGGCCCCAATGCACTTCGCAACGCCAGAACCCATAAAACCTTGCCACCTCGGATTGGCGGCGCGCAGATCTTCCAGGGCGTGGTGGAGGCCGTTGTCGTGTACTGGGGCCCAGAGAGGCGCGGCGACGCACTTGGCAGGCTGGAGAGCAACTTCAGCACTCGCTGCTGCGAAGCAGAAAGTCTCGGCAATCGTGGCGAGCTGGGCGACGCGCGGCAAAATGGGCCCACCATCGTCACCGCAGCTCTCGCAATGCCATGATCTCGGGCGGGGCATGGCCCTTCGAGTGGACGTGGCAGGGTACCCATGGCAAGCGCCCACAAACTTCTTGAAAAGGGGGTTCCCTGGGAGGGCGCCGCTGGCCAACTCGCGCATCGGGGTCAGGGGTACTTTTCCGAACGTGGCGAAAACTTTACGACCTGACATGTATGTGCCCTTGCTGGCTGTCATGAATCCGTTCGCTGAGAGGTTTGGCGGGGCGCCCTATGGTTTGCACGTCGCTGGTTTTCAATCTGAAGGGCCGCAGATCCCGGCGCTTCCGCGCTGTTCGAGCGACGTCCGAGCTCTCCTCTCTTTCGGGTCAAAACGGGAATAGCGACTGGCTCGCAGGGTCTATAGCTGCCCGGGTGGATGCGCTCGAGACCTCGGCGGGGGATGGCGGCGGCGGAGGGGTGGGGGGCCAGGCGGCGAATGGGGGGCGGATCAGGGCCGATGATCAGGGCAAGGGGCGACCAGCTTGGCTCGCCGGAGCGCGCGCGCGAGCGCGCCCTCCCCGAGCGCGGGGGCGTCGAACGCGGGGCGGGGCGTGGGGGGGGGTGGCATAGGGCAGGGCGCCGCGAATCTCACTCTCGCAAGTCGGGCGCCCAACAAACGCCGATTGCGCAAATTCCTGGGCAGCGTGAATGATATCGCGATCACTTGCGCGCGCTGGCTTGGGGCCGCGCGCCTGGGTTCTGATCCCGCGGGGCCCGCTTCGGGCCCGAGCTGTCGGGCCCGCTGTCGGGCCCGCGGGGCCCAGCGACGAGCGCGGCGGGCGCCTTTCCCCCCGACCCTTCTCTAGCGCAAGGAGGCTGGCGCGCTGCCTGGAAAGGCCCCGCGCCGGCGCCATTCGTCGTTGACTGCGCCGCGGGCAATATGGAATAAGGTCGGGCCAATGAGAGAGGCGACCTCATCGACGACGACGACGAGGTAGAGGGCAGCAGGGGGGCGCGCGACGAGAGGGCGCGCAGCAGTGGGATGGCCGTTGCGACGCTCGGCGCGCGTGGACCTGAAAGAGCGCGCGCGATTGACTGGCGCGCCTGGGTTCGCGTTGCATGAAAACCGAGCCCCTGAAGCTTGCATCGCGCGAGCGCGGCAGATTCGCGCGCGAGAGACATGCGCCCGCCCGAGCCTCGACGGCAGATGCAGGATCAACGAATTCGATCCCCCTTGCTAGCGCCAAGCGAAACTCGGAAGTCCTGAAGAGACGCGCTGGGATGGCGCGCTCACGTTGGGAGAGGGGCTGGGGCAGGGCGACTTCTGAACATCGGCGCGGCGTGATCTGACCAGCCCTGGCCAGACGGCTTCGCGCATCCACGAGCTGCTTGCAGAATGACCCCCCGAAAAATTGAACGCGCAGCTTGTCCAGACAAGAAAATCGCGATAGATGAAGGCTTCCTGGGGCCCGCGGGCGCGGCGTCTCGCGGGGGGATCACAAGCCATTCTGGCCGTCGTCGCAAGCGCGCGTCTCCAGCGCGCCTGCGCGCGCAGACCGCGGTAATCGTTGACGAGACGAGAAGCGGGAGGGGCGGGGCGGCTGGGCCGGGGCTGCTCTGCCGGGGTGGCGGGGGGGGCCCGATCTGCCCGCGCTCCGCCAGTGCACCGTTTTCCGGGCGGGGCTGGGGCGCGCGAGAATCGGCCGCGCCCTCGCCCCGGAGGCCAGAGAGCCCAACGTGGCCGCCCGATGCTTCCCAGACGGCTCAAGACTGCTCAAGACACGCCCAAGATGGCCCGGGGCGCCCTCGAAACGGCGCAGCGAGCGCCCCGAAAAGGCCTCCAAGACGGCCCCAGAGGCTCCCAAGAGGTCCTCCAGAAAAGGCCCGAAGAGGCCCGACTCATACATGTCCCGCATGATCTCGAAGGATCTGGGCGCTCCATTCAGCTCGGCCATCCGACGGCCCAAGGCGGCCCCATGGGCTGCCGAGATCGCCCCGGGGACCTTCCATGGTAGCCCCATGACTGACTGGGGGGATGTCAAGACGGCTCCACACTTCTCCAGGACGGCCTAGACGGTTTCCAAGACGGCCCGGAAGCGCCCCCAAAAAGCCCGCCGTCGGCGCAGCGAGGCGCCCAAGACGGCCCTGGACCGCGCCCGACGGGCCAGGCGCGCCCAGAGACAACTGGGAGAGCTCCCAAGAAGCCCCCAAGAGGCTCACGGCCACCGATCGATCCCGAGCGCTATCGGGAACGCCCTGGATTGGCGGAACTGGCGGGATGACCAACGACGAATGGGCGCGTCCCCGCTTGTGCGCACGCGAGACCCGCGGTCTCCAGGGGCGCTCGATCCCGCTCACTTCTACGGCCGGGAGCGCGCGACCGCGAACGTTCAGACGACGCACCTCGCAAGCTTGAGCGGGTGAGGAAACAGAAAGGCAGAGAGAGAGAGAGAGAGCGGCAT